CGGGGCGCCGCCTCCAGGGTGCTTCCCTCCCCGCAGGTTCCCGGAGGCCTCGGCGAGCCTCGGCTGCAGTCTGACCTCAGGCGGGCCGGGTGTCAGGAGTTAGGAGGACGGACTGAGTCTCTGGGCTGGTTAACCTTGCTGGGACTTGGGGCTCAAGGCCTTGATTTTAAGGTATAATTGAGGACGCAAGTACTGGAGAGGTAGTGATGAAAAATAAATGCGCTAATACCCGGTAAAAAAACAAAAACAAAACATTTTCCATTCTGCCTCCCGCAAGGAAATCCATCCCACAGAGGACATTCGGGAAAGCGCACCCGCCTATGACAACTGTAACTCTAAACCGGCCTCTGATCTTTTAGTTCCTAATGAATTGTAGGCTATTTCATTGGCTCCCTGGCATTTTATTTAAAAAGAAAAAGCACTATTCAAGGAATCTGTTGTATACCCGGGAGTAAAGGAATTCTCTCCAGCGCCTTGAGACAAAGGGCTAACACCTACTCGGTTGGAAGGGTCTTGGTCTATTACTGACAGCTCCTCGGTGTGACAGTCACGGCCTTTGGATTGCTTTGGTTCAGGCTTCCTGTACTGTATTTTCCCTTAAGACATGGTATCATTTTGTTGTGTGTGGATGTGGTGTTGGATTATTGCCAGTGTAATTTAAGTGATTATTGGCGTGGGCCAGTGACTTAAATATTTGACATAACTTGTGCTTAACGTGAATGCACAACTGAATAGACCTTCCTGCCGGAGGAGATGCTGTGAAGGTATCAGAGCTCCTGGTAAATGGGGACACTCATCAAAACAGCACAAGAGTATCTTTTCACAGAATCAGCACTTTAGAACTCAGGTTTCTGGAACACAATTTAATTACAGAACAAGCCAGGGAGTTTGAATGACTTGACCAAATTGACATGTGACATAATTAGTGGGAAGCAAATCTAGGAGCAGAACTGGCAGTTAGAATATCCTAGAGGACTGAGGGACTTTCAGTACCACCCGGCCTGGTGGCATTTGCAAACTAGAAAAATTAGGCCCAAAGGAAAGCTGATTAAGGACAGACCCAGATCTCCCATTAGAGATTAGAAAGAGCACTGGACCGAAGCCAGAACACTCAGGTAAAAATCTGTGTGGCCTTTAGTGAGTCATTTAACCTTTTTATTTTTTTTATTTTTAATTTTTTGTGAGGAGGACTAGCCCTGAACTAACAAATGATGCCAATCCTCCTGCTTTTTTCTTGAAGAAGATTGGCCCTGGGCTAACCTCCGTGGCCATCTTCCTCCACTTTACATGGGACGCTGCCACAGCATGGCTTGACAAGCAGCGCGTCGGTGCGCGCAGGGATCCAAACCTGCGATCCCCAGGCCACCACAGCAGAGCATGCTCACTTAAACACTTGGCCACCCGGCGGCCCCATTTAACCTTTTTAAACCCAGCCATCACGTGACTGCCATCATGGCCTCCTTTGAACCCCCTGCTCCCGGAACCTCCTGGAGCAAGCTGCCCTGTGAGCAGCAGCTACTGCGGATCAGGGTTTGCCTTTCCCTGAGCCATCAGCTCCCCACCAAATGCTTTGTCTTGTCTCCCTTTAGCTCCTTGCTCTCCTGCCCACACAAGGGCTGCTTGGAACTCTCATCCCTCTCCCCAAGCCTTCTACATTTCTCCTCTCCCTCCCTCCCCGTCCTTACCAACCCTCAGCCTTGATTTATGCTGTAAACTAAAACAATCAGGAAACATTTGCACAAATTTTTAACCCTATTCTACAGTTACCTTTTTTGCACAGACTCTCATCTGGTTTTCCTCTTTCTTGCTGTCTTCCTTGCTGTATCCCATGCCTAGTGCCATGGCTGGCACAGATGATGCTGGCCAAGAAACCCAGGCTTAGAGAGGTCACGTCACTTGCCCAAAGTTATACAGGTACTAAGGGAAGAGCTGGAACTCAGCAAAGTTCTGTCCAGTTCTGAAGTTCATGTTCTTAACCGCTACACTCCACAGT